ACTAGCACCTTGAAGCGCGTCCGGAGACCAATGGGGAGCCAGTGCAGCTCGCGGAGGATAGTACAGGTGCCCTTATTCACTTTGTCATCTACTGTTCCATCTCTGCTGTCTAATAAATGATCCACGAGGAGAGATCTGTCTGAAGCAAAGCACGTAGATCATTAGGGACATGGAAAATTGACTTCTGCATTGTTCTGTTATTTAAGCATCTCAAATATATATTCCCCCCACCCGAAGGAATTAAGGTGGTCTTTTGTTGTTCGTTTGTTTTGTTGTTTTATTGGACTTATGTGCCGCCCTTCTCCCAAAGGACTCAGGGCGGCGTGCAACATAAAAAGACATATGACAAAAGTTAAAAAAGATTAAATAGGAAATCCAATAACCTTTGATTGACAATTAACATCAAATTTAGGATTAAATTAAAATTGACAATTTTATTTTATTCTATTCAGGCCAGGCCGGTTTGCTGAAAAAGCCAACTTTTTAGGGCGTGCCAGAAGGACCCAGAAGTCGGGGGTTATGCGAAGCTCTGGGGGCAGCTCATTCCAAATGGAAGGCGCTCCCACAGAGAAGGCTCTTCCCCTTACAACACTGCCGATGGCACCCTGAGGAGGCTAACTCTTTTAGTCTAGATGAATGATTCATGACTTTTGGGAACATTAAATTCCAACGATCACTGTATCAAAGAACCTTGGTCCTTTGCTATCTGTAAGGATAACAAAAAAAAAATATCATTGACGTAGATTTGGATTTGCATTGGGACAGCAGCTGTTATTGTGTAGTAGAGGAAGATGTTGGAAAAAATCACGGCGGAGAGGTAGGCTGGTGGGACAGGTCATGTCTAAACATATCAAGGAATCTTCGTGGTCTGCATTCCCCAATAGAAATCTTCTGCTCTGAATCAGTGACTTAAGACAAATCCTGTCTTGTTTCATGATCCTGTGAAAATAACTTGTTGCAAACTTGAATGTTATGCTGTGTCTAACTGTATGCAGAAAAAAAATGCCTATAATGATTATAACATCTTTCTTTTGACAGATTTCTAATAAACCTGCAAGACTTTGTATAAAAGCAATAGACTTATTTTTTTCCCCGTCAACAAATGGGCTGAGTGAGACACAAAACAATTCCTACTCTGTCAACACAGTTTATTGATGATTATTGCCAAATCACATACCTTTCATTTTCGTAGTTCTAATGCCAAGGGAAATTCTGTTTTCTAGAGCGCTGCAAATGTAAGCCTATAAAAGCTACCCAGAAGACCTACCTTCGGAACAATTACAACTATGGTAAGTGTGGCACGAGGACAAGAAATAACTTTTGAGGAAGAGAAGATTAAATGAAAACAAAAATGATTTCACAGAAAGGGGTTCTTGGGTAGCTACTTCAGCCATTTGCTATCTCCAAAGGCAGGCAGCTGTTGGGAACCAAAAATTGTCTGCTGAAAGTGACTTTTAAAGGCTCAGGTTCCTTGCTCACCTGTTTCATGCTCAAAACAACCATTTTGGGTAGTTCAGGCTACCAAAAAGATTGACTATCCCAAGGTCAAAAAGATATGAAGCTTAGCTTAGATGTCAACTTGTAAAATGTTGCCACAATAGAATTTGAACCTGGCATTCCTACATTTTCACCTGAAACCTTTGAGAATAAGTAGATTTCTGGAAGGAACAAGATCAACCAAATGCATTTGGGAAATTTCAGAAGCATCAGATACAAATGCAAGAACTTCTTTAGAAAAGAAAAAAAACAAGAGTATTGATTTCAAGAAGGCAGGTGTTGTTATTCTTCATCACTAATAATCAAGTGATAAGACTATCATTTTCTTAAACTACCCTTCTGGTGCTAATGACAGTGCTTATTGTTTTATGGAAATAACAACACTTTTACTATGTTTTCATTTATTAATTCACACCTTTTTAAAAAATAGCTTTTTCTCCAGGGTTGAAAAGAACAAAACATTCTGGAAGATACATACATTAGATGTCCTCATTTTAACTTTTGTTCTTCTTTTTCTTCAGTTATTCGGGCTAAAGTTAAGGAGGTAAAGACCAAATGTCACGACGTCACTGCGGTAGTCGAAGTAAAAGAAATTCTAAAATCTTCATTGGTGAACATTCCTAGGGACACCGTCAACTTATATACAAACTCTGGCTGTCTTTGCCCACCACTTAATGCTAACGAAGAATATATCATCATGGGCTATGAAGACGAGGAACGTTCCAGGTAACAATGGGCTCCTCCCTTTAATTAGTTCCACCAAAACACAGTTAACTGAGTAAAATTAGGAAACCAAGAGAGAAATCTTAAATCTTGATTGTGGACTAAATGTTATCAAAAACATTTCTGGAACGAACTCCCCGTGGAGATTCGAACCCTCACCACCCTCCAGGCCTTCCGCAAAGCCCTTAAAACCTGGCTGTTCCGACAGGCCTGGGGNATTGTATGTGTGAACTCAGCATCTTTATTTAAGGATTTATTTAACGACTGCAAGGCAATCAAACTGGTCAGTCCTAGAGGAGCTCAACCCTGACCGCTCTTTAGAGGGCCAGATCCTGAAGAGGAAACTCAAATATTTGGCTACCTAATGAGAAGGAAGGACTCCCTGGAGAAGAGCCTCGTGCTGGGAATGATGGAGGGCAAAAGAAGAAGGGGACAACAGAGAATGAGGTGGCTGGATGGAGTCAGCAGTAGGTGTGAGCTTAAATGGACTCCAGAGGATGGTAGAGGACAAGGAAGGCCTGGAGGAAGGTTGTCCATGGAATCGTGATGGGTTGGACACCACTTCGCAACTAACAACAAATGTTCTGAAAGACCACTGGTAAAAGAATTGTAAAGTATGGGTTTCCTTGCAAAGCAGGACTTAATTTTATAGAACTATTTTTTTTCTTCTGATGTAAGAATGAAATAGGCCACTGGTTATAATTTAGGAGCAGGGTTATAGAAACGTTATTAAAAGAGTGGGTTTTTAGCAATACTCCCCTGGTGCAGTTCCATCTCCCCACCCCCACCCCTTCCTTTTCCCCTCTGGGGATGTAGCTATTCTTTCCCAGGACTGCCAAATCTTTCTTAAAGACCCAAAATCTTTAAGAAAGGGAGGATACACCTGTAAAGTCCCTTGTCCTGCAGCTAAAGAGTACAAGCCTGATCATTGATCAGCCTTGCTGTCTATGTGCAAAGGAGCAGAAACAAGAGACTATTAAAAGAGATGGAGGAGGAGGAGGAGGAGTGGACAAAAAAAGAAGGATGGAACACATACACAAACACACACACACAAGTGATAGAGAGGCAAAGCAAATTAGACTGGGGTGGGGTGGGGTTTGTTCTGATCTGCCTGGGTTTTTGCCTGCCCCCCAAAATGCACTCTGAATCTTAATTCACGCCAGCTTTTGCTCCCTCCCTCCCTCTCTCTCATACATACACAATCTCCTGATCTTTCTCTCTCTGAGATCAGCCCTTTCCATACCCCATCTGCGTTTTTACACTCCATCGTGGCTTGTAGAAATCTGCTGCTCAAAGATACAAAGAGAGATTCCTCCCCCGCCTCGCAACCCCCCCCCCGAGTTTTAAATTTTTCAACTTCTCCCCGGCGGTAGTTTTCTTTCCCCCTCCCCCCCGCGTGTCCGCCCCCCAATATTTCTTCCCTCGATGTTTCCAATCGATTTATTTATTCGGTTCGAAACGGAAGCCGGACGATCTTGGTTAAAAATAACACACAGTGGTCGGGGGATGTTGGGTTGTTTTTAATTTTTTTAAAAATCTGGGACGAATACACTCGCGACTTTTTTTGTTTTTCTCTCCGCCAGTCCTTCCTGGATTGCGTACCAGGGATGGTTTTTCTCTCAGATTGCAGAATTTTATTTTTAAAAAAGAAAAGAAAAGGGAGGGGTTACGAGGAAGAAGCGTTCTGGAGAACGGCACTCGATCTAGCTTGCTTTCTCTCGCGGGTGGCAATCCCCACGGGGATCCTCCCCCTCACCCCCCCCCCGTGCACCTGGCCGATCCTTTTCTGACATTTCCTCGGAAGTAAATGTAACCAGTCCCTCCAACGAGGCGGGCTCGTTCCTTTCGGCTCCCTGCTGTTTTCTCCAAGGAGGAAGCTCGCAGAGTCCCCGCACCAGCTCCGCGTCCTTAAGCCCACGCGCGTTTTTCTGCGGAAGAGAAGGACGGCGCGGGCAGGTTTCGCGGATCATTGCCTTCCCTCGGTCTGAGCCGATAATCGGCCGGGAGAAGCCTTAACCGAACTTCAGAAATTACAACCACGCGTGGACACCCTCCCCCTCTCTCTCCCACCATCCCCTTTCCATCGCCGCCGCCGCGCACAGAGAGCGAGAGCTGGGAGGCTGCGGGCGCCAAAGCATTGCAAAAAATCGCGCCGAGCGGAGTCAGAGAGTGCAAACGGCGGGGACCGCGGCTGTTCTCCATCGCCCACAGTCGCCGCCGCCGCCGCCGCCACCTCGCCGGTTCGGTGCCGCTTTACTTCTGCAGCACTGCTGGGCGTGGGAAGCCAGGAAGGGCGAGCAGGGCCGTCTTCGTGACTCTCTCGCTCGCTCTCTCTTCCCACTGCCCGGTGATAGATAGATATGTATTTTTTTCCCCTGCAGGTGTTTCAGTTTTCATTTTGCCCGGTAGGTGGGACTTGGGGACTTGGAGCATCAGTATAGGAGCAAGCACCCCCCCCCCGCCCGCCCCCCCCCGCTGGGCCGGAGAGAGCTCTCCCCCCGCCCGCCCTCGCTTCCTCCTCCTCCTCCTCCTCCTCCTCCGTGCCGCTGCGAATCTTCTGTTGCAATCTTCACAAGTCTCGGGAAAAGCAGCCAGCGAGCCAGCCCAGCCAGCCAGCCAGCGAGAGAGAGAGCCTACGGTGGATCAACAAGGCGCCGGGACACGCGCGCACCATTCTCCCCCCACCCCACGCCATCCCGCCACCCCACATACACACATACACACACTCACACACCGCACACACGCGCGCGCATCTCTCTCCACCAGCCGCTATGCCTCGCGCGCCGCTCTCGTAAGAGGGAATTTACAAGCCTCTCCGCTTGGCCAACATGATTTCGACGTCGCGAGGATTTTTTCTTACTCTGGTCGCTTGAGGGTGGTTTGGGGGCTGTTGTTTTTTTGCTTTTTTTTAAAGGGGGGGGTTGAGGTTTACCCCCCCTCTTTCTTCCCCCCTCTTCCCTTAAAACCTTCTCTTTCCCCTCTCCTTCTACGCTGCTTTCTCCCTCCTTCCCCCTCTTCTTCTTCTTCTTCTTCTCCCCCTTGGCAATCTTTCCTCCTCTCTTTCTCTCTCCTTTTTTTTTTAATTTTTAAAATAAAGCCACAGCAGTCGAAGATGGATGTCTCGTTTTGTCCGACCAAATGTAGTTTTTGGAAGGTTTTCTGGCTCTGGAGCATTTGCGGGGACTACTTGGTTTCCGTTTTGGGTTGCCCTGCCAACTGCCTTTGCAACAAAACCGAGATCAATTGCAAAAAACCGGATGATGGCAACCTCTTCCCTCTGCTGGAGGGGCAAGATTCGGGATCCACCAATGGAAACGCCAGCATCAACATTACGGATATCTCTAGGAATATCACTTCGATGTAAGTCCCTCTCTTCTCCTTCGGCTCGAGGTCTTCTTCTCCCTCCCTCCCTCCCTCCTCCTCCTCCTCCTCTCTCTCTCCCTCTTCTTCACTCCCCCCTTCTCCCCCGTGTGTTCAAATACGAATGTGTGGCGACTGTAAAGGAGAATGCAGGGGTGGGGTAGGGAAGAAGAGAAGCGGAGATTTGGCTCCTGCCTGTGTGATGTACCCGATGCCCCTCTTGGCCAGCTGCTTCTTTCCGGCGACTTGCTTGCTGCCCAAGGAGGTTGAGGATGGGACCTAACTGCGTTTCGCTAAATGCAGATTTAGCATCCCTTCCCCTCCGCCCCCGCAAATTCTGGGAGCCTCCCTCCACGAAAAAAGCAACAGTTTGCAAAAAAAAATATCTAGGAAGGGCCAGTGGAGTCGGGAGGGGGTTTGCCACCAACCTTGAGGGCAGTTGGAAGAGGGGCACTCCGTGTGTGTGTGTGTGTGTGTGTGTGTGTGTTTGTCTGTGTGTACACACATTTGCCTGGCAGAGAGGTTGTGTATCTGGCCAACCGATCCTTCAGTAACCTACAATCTCTAGCTTGCTTTAAACTGTGTGCAAAGAAGAATATGATCTCTCTCTCTCTCTCTCTCTCTCTCTCTCTCTCTCTCTCTCTCTCTCTTTCTCTTGCCCCCCTCCCCCATAACAGGACCTTTTCTGATTCTTTCCCCCTCCTCTTCCTTTTATATCGAAGTCTCCCTGCCCTTGCTCATGTTTTTTTTTAAATAAAAAACAACAACACAACCCTATTAACACTGCAGATATATATGCCCAGAGACAGAAAGAGAGAGAGAGAGTTGGTGGTGGTGGGGGAGACACACAAATTCATTGCCTGTGTGTGCCTAAAATGACATTTTGGAAATAATTGTCCTACATAAAGTCATCCACATTCAAGTTGTTACACTTGATACACACACACACACAAACACACACATACACACAGAGGCTCATGGACACACAGAGGCTAACACACACATATTTTAATGGCCAGTGTGTCAGATTCCCGAATCAGTCCTTTCTCTCCTAGGCCCCCTCCTCTTTCTTTCTCTTCTCCCCCCTTTCAGCAGTGCATATTTTGAGTAGCTGGCCTGAGGTGGGGGGGGGGGGGGGCTGTTGAAAGCAGAGATATTTTTAGTGATGTGCTTTGCTTCTCTATCTGGAAAAATCAACTCCAAGTTCCTTCTATCTCCTGGCTAGCAAACCTCAGTGGATGAAACACCAAATCCCATCAAGTGAGTGGGGGTGGAAGTGATGGGGGGTAGAAGGGAAACACGCCATAATCCCCCACCACTCTTTTCACAAGTTTTTATCAACCTAGATTACAAATATGAATCACACCAAAACACCTCTAGGCTTGGCTTTCTGCATTGGGCTAATACACACAGACAATCTTGTTTATAGACAAGGAGTGGATGGACAACCCCCTCCCCACCCTTCATTCATTGACACAGACCCAAGTAGGCATGCTGGGGTGGGGAAGGGACAGACCTCCTGTGTAAGTTACCCATGGGACCCCCAAAAGGAGGGGGGGTGTTTGCAGGATGAGGAATGTGTGATGCTCATTATTAATATTAGGCAGCGAAATGCAGGAAAAGATAGGGATCACTAATGAGAAAGGGGAGGATGGGTATTCTTATTAATTAAATATCCCAGTGGCACAAGACACTTCATAGAAGGAGTGGGGGAGGGGGGGGCAACAACAGATGGATGACTTTAGGTGGCTGTTTTTCCCATCTTAGAAACAGGGGAGGTGCTTTTTGGCTCCATCAGAGCTGGGAAATAATTGCCCAAATACGTATGTGATATTTTTGTGCTTGTTTGGCAGAGAGAGACCTTCCTGGTGCCCAGAAGTTGAGAAGGTGGCATTTTAAAATACTCTTTAAAGATGGTTTAGCTAAATCTCTGTGTTTCTTCTGGGCTGGGTAGATCCTAAAGTCTGGCCCTTGGCCTTGCAAATAACCTCTGCGAAAGTTACTAGACCCTAGAGAGGTGGATAGCATGGGAAGAGAGAGAGAAGGGGGGGAAGGAATGAATGAGGGGGAAGAATATTTCTGCTTCCAAATATTTTCCTGCATGGTTGGTTCGAGACAATGCTAGAGGTGATTGGGCGAGTGGTTGCTTTTTAAATCCATCCTGCCCTTAGTAACTTTTCCATTTTGTTGCTATTTTGATTCCCACAATTTCCCTCCTCTCTCATTGCCCCAAGGAATCAGAGAAGCCAACTTTGGAAATAGCCCTCCATTCAGTTCCCAGATGTATTATCCCTATTTATTATTATTTTTTTTACAGTACAGGATGGTTTCTAGATAACATCGGGGGAAAAATAAGTGCATATGGATGATTCTGTCCTTCTCATCTTTCAGAGGCATCTTTGCCAATTTTCACTTTCCCCGCTCTAATTTCTCCTGTAATTCACCACCATTTATAAACGAAGCGAGGACGTCTTCTTCGTATTTTGTGTGTCTATATCATAATCTGAACTGCTGGGGGAGATATGATTATGTGAATCTTTTGTATCCAGGAAATAACTTGATTGCTTTGAAAACGCTGATCAAGCTGTTAGCTGAATAGGTGGAGGACCCGCTTCAAACTCCCAAATAAGCAAAGATGTTTTTTTTATATATCCCCTTCAGAAAGAACACATTTTAACCCACCCCCCTCCCCCAAAAGGAAAAGATTAGAGGTTGTTAGGCTAGGTGGAAATCTGACGCTATTTGTGATCTTCACCTTGGCCTTTTGAAATGGCTAAGAAAAAAATAAGATACATTGGATATTTTTTCTGGCTAGTATGATGCTGCAGAAATATGATTTGCATTTGGGAAGTGGGGGCTAAGAAACAAAGCAGAAAAGCAGCTGACTTTTTTGGAAAGGGAATTAGCCAATTCCAGTAGAATCTATGAAAGATTCTGATAGCCACAACCTCTGGGACTACTCCATGGCTATTCCATGGAATTTCACTTTCCATGGAAGCGAAATGGAGCTTCCATCTTCAAGGGCAGTATTCCATCAACTGTCAAATCCACCTTGTTTTGGTGCTGCTCTAAATTTTCAAGATACTTTTGTCTATCTTCAATTGCTGATCAAATGATCCTTGGCTTGAATAATAATAACAGGGCTCTTTTTTCTAGCATGTGCAAGCATGGGATTGAATACATTTCTCTCCTGTTCTGAAGACGGTAAAATTCTTAACGGGTCTGTTTAATAAGCAGGAGACAACACATGACCCACCATGTGTCAGCCAACCCAAAACAACACCTCCATCCTATCCCTACTGATTGTACCAAATTGATGGGCTTCTATGAGGCTTAGAGAAAGCTCTGGTGGGGCAATAATTCCATAACACCACCACCCCTCATTGAAGCAGATCTACAAAATGGAATCACCTTTCACACTCTGAGTTGGGTGGAGTCACCAGACAACTTTATTTTGGCTGTTCTTTAGCCTTCAATCAATCTGCGGGTGTGCATGGGGCCATTCATCTCGCCGATTGTACTAATAATGCCCTGGCCAAATCTACCTGTCTCATCGTCTTTCCTTATGAAGAAGGTTCCTGTTTTTCTCTTCTCCTGAGTCCTTTGGAGTTTTCTCTTGATGAGGCTTTTTTGAGCTGACTTCCTTGATATGTTGACATATTGTTGCATTCCCTCTGTAGCCTCCCTGGCTGTCCACATTCTCAGATATATATCGTAACTGAAGGATGGGAAGCCAGGTTGGCTGTAGGCTGCTGGAGAGTGATTGGACAAAAAAAGGCAGAATATTTTCTCCCTCTCCCTCTGCCTCTCTCCCTCTCTTTCTTCCTCTCCCTCCCTCTTCCTCTCCCTCCCTCTTCCTCTCCTTCTCCCTCCCTCCCCTTCTCTCTCTCCCTCCCTCTCCCTCCCTCTCCCTCCATACAACAGGACACTGCAACCCTGAGTATCTCATGGGTGAAAGAGAAGAGAATTATTTCTCCTTTGGTAGAAATGTCTGAAGCCAATCCCCTTTTTCCAAACTGAACATGTAGAACCCAGCTGCTGTAAAAAAATATCTTGGCTGGTTGATAGGCAGACGATCGGAGAATGCCCTTTTCATCAGTGCTATGTTGAAGCCCCATGAGTGGATACAGTCCAGAGGACAGGCTGAAAGGGGCTGGAGAGTAGCCAGAGGGTGTCCTTCTCTGGGCTTCCCCTCTGAAACGGCCTGAGAAGCTCACCTTGTCAGATAAAGATGGGAGTTACACTAGCTGGTTGTGACACAACAGAGTGTCTGTTTAAGCACCACCAGGGGCTTTTAATTTCATTAACTGTGTCTCTTTGAAGCAATCAGTCGCCTCTGAGAGAGAGAAAAAAATATATCTGAGAGTCTTAGATGTATCCAAACAACAAAAGGAAAGGGGGGGGGACACGATATAATCATTGTTTTTTAAAGCATCTATTCGGACTCTGATGCTTAAAAATAAATATTTTGCAAGACCCTGGAGATGGAGACTGAGCATTGTCATCCCAGCTAAAAGGGTGGAATCCAAAGTTTCATGGTGAAAACTGAATAAAGGACAATTCCTGGTTTGCCTCAATCCACAGAATGATGTCCACAAACCATGATGGATGCTAGTTAAGAAGCTAAAGTTTACCAATGGTAAACTGCAGAACTTGGAGAAACATCCTGCCAGATACTGCCGATCAAACATTAAACGCAACATCCCCAGATAGCAGCTGGTGATGCCAAAAATTTCCCCACTTTGTAAAATAGGATATTCTTTCTTTTTTTATATTAAAAAAATGTCAAAATCCTGCAGGCAAATGTAGAAATCTTCTAAGATGATGTCAACTGCAAAGTTTTTGCAATTTCAGAGAACAAGGGTCAGGAGAAAAACAACGTAAAACCCAGCATTAAAGGTGCCCATTTTTTTTTATTTGGCTTTGCCATATCTAGTATATCTTGGCATATCTAATATTGGCTTTGGCATATCTAGAATGGAAAGGGTGAGTCTTTGATG